AAAAAAAAGTTATACAAATAAGAAATAACATGAATCTGTGCATTTGAATGTGTTTTAAAGTCAAAAGCCTTCCAAAGACTTAGTAACACATGGTTAAATAAAGTGATAATTCAAATAAACATTAATGTGTTCATCAGCAGTTGATTGAGATGATTTTTGTAAATCCAGTGGTCAGATGCAGCGTGGCCTCTCGGTTTTCTGTGTAATTATAACCACCTGACTCATGAATGTCCACAAAACTGGAAGACTTTCTGAATCGATATAAGTGGTAAGCTTATTTAAAAAGGAACGTTTAATAGATGAAAAAAAGAATTGGGGAGAATCAATAAATTATAAATAATTTATTGCTATTGTGTGAATAATTTGTAATCATGTAATCAATAAAATAGCATCTATAGCCTGATTACGAGTATTTTAAAATGCAATATAATCTAATTACTAATCACTTTTTTTTTGGAATCTGATTACATAATCCAGATTTCATGTAATGAGTTATTACCCACCTCGTGAGGCCCTGGATCCCTGTGAAAGAGGATGAGGGCCTTTCATAATTCACATAGTCTGATGCACCTCCATTCCATCTGTGTCTCTGCTCAGATGTTTCAGATTAAAAAGATTAGCTGTATAGGCGCTGGGTATGTCGGAGGTCCGACATGTAGTGTCATTGCAAGCATTTTGCCTGTGCCACCCATGACCTTTATCTAGAGACAGTGAGGGTATGTCATGCATCTGCGTGTGGATTGTTTCAGAAGAGAAGCATGACTATGCTGTTATTTTACCTCCATTCAAGCCATCACGACAGATTTGTATTTATTCAGTAATGGGGCAGGAACACAGGCTTGTAACAAATCCCTTCATTAAAGGGGTCCAAACGTCTAAGACCACTAATGAAAATAATTATAGTATTAGCATGTCAATTTGTGTGAAAAGTTGAATTGAAAAATGAACATGAATTTCAGAATGTTTTAGTATTTGACATGTCCACCTTTTCCTATGGAGCAGCATTAAAGGTGACATGAACTTCAGTTTATGCTATACATGGTGATCATGAGCATGATTCGAGAATGATTCATTGCATTAATCTTTCTCAGATTCACAGCACTGATGGGAAATCTGACTTTTTGTACAAAGGAGTCAATGACACAACTGTACTTAGTTGATTACTGATTCCGAACTAGTGTTAATCATACATATGTATTACACAGTTAGTTCCCGTCTTTGAATTTGATTGGCCGAGAGCTGATGTCTCAGCACTGGTCTTTTGTCGCTCCACTTGTCTTTGCATGTTCCAGACAGACTGTTAGTCTGTGCATTAGTCGAGGGGATTTTTACATTGTTACGCCAGTAGGTGGCGACAAGTGCATTATTATAACTCGTTGAATTATTCACTCAAATCTTCAGTCAATTCTTTCAAAAACAAAAGTGATTCATTTAGAAGGAAAGCACCACACCTTGGACTCTGTTCGGAAGTATTTTCATTGGCAGCTCAAAAATAAGCAAATTAATTAGTGATATTGTTTCTGAATGCTTCTACCTCGTTATTAACGGATTCGTTTTTTTCTCAAACAGTATAACCCTCACAACTGAGTGAGATTTCACAATATATATACATTTTTTTTAATGCACTACATTTTGATATATTTCTTTGAACTGACTGAAGAAATGCCATTTTAGATATTGTATAATATTATTATTAGTTATTTAACATATCAGTAATTTATTTAATAATATTACATTTATGTATTTGACCGATACTTGTGGTGCATTTTTTGCTGCTGTTCTGTACTAGTTTCCCTGGATTTATTCAAAAAGAGCCTTTTTCTGTGGCATGATCATCAATTTTGTGTTGTAAGCCCCTCCTGTGTGTATGTGTGTTTCAGAGAGTCCTCCAGTATCTACATCTCTAAGTATCTGATGGACGAAGGAGCTAAGCTGCATATTTATGACCCTAAAGTGCTGAAGGAGCCGATAATCCAGGACCTGTCTCAACCCAGCATCTCCGGAGACAACCCCGAGAGAGGTGTGTGTGTGTGTGTTGAGCAAATAAACCTGTGCTTCTCTGAATGAGTGCTGTGTCATTCTGAATCTCGTGTAGGGGAGACGCTCACATATAGGAATGCAGGGGAACGTTTGTGTCTTCATGTTTCTGTCTAATTCAGCATGACTCCCATCCTCTCTGCAGTGTCTGATCTTGTAACAGTGTCGTCGTGTGAAAGTGCACACGCCCTGGTCATCTGCACAGAGTGGGACATGTTTAAGGTACAAAAAACACAAACTCTATGCAGATTCAAAAGGCACTGACATATAGTGTAACATTTGAGTCATGCTTTGATTAAAGTGGTTTGCTCTACCAAAGCAGAACTGTCACTTGACCAGCACTGTTATATCAGCTGCATATTTATTGATCAGGTGCATGTATTTTAGTGCCTTGCAGACAATGCATTAATTTCCAGGTAATTTTTTGGACATTTTCTTAGTGTTGTATTATTATTAATAAATGTTTGATTTACCTATTCAGCTATAAATGTAAAAATATAATCACAAGTAATGGTTTTGAACGATCATTTTAGTATAAGCAATATATAATATTATAAATGTAAATGATGTTTAGTTTATTTATTCATTTATAAATGTATATTTAAATTATACATTATATTACATTTAAATTCTGTAACAATAAATATTTTTAAATAATAATTTGAGTAAATACTAAATTAGACATTTAAGTGTAAACATTATAAATGTAAAATAATGTTTGGTTTATATATTTATTCATGTAGAAATTAAAAAATGTATATTACTCATTTATTTTAAATCATTATTTTAGAATAAATACAAAAATTAGAAATGTACATATAAATATAATATTATAAATTCATAAATATTTGGTTTATTTATTAATTTAGAAATGTAAATACATTATAACATTTTGTAAAATAATTTTTAGAACAAATATATTATTATATTCACATTTCTAAATGTTGAAGTGTAAGTTGTGTTGGGTCCAGTAAAAATACTGGTGGGGTATAAATCTGAACTGGCATGAAAGCCCTGCCATGGTGCTAAATGATTACCATATATGCATATATTATAGTAAATGTGGTACTGTACTCCCAAAAACAACGGTATGTCTAAAAAGAATAGTGAAGTATTGCATGTGTTTATTTTAGGAATTGAATTACGAGAAAATCTATCACAAGATGTTGAAACCAGCGTTTATCTTTGATGGTCGACGAGTTCTGGACCATCTGCACCCTCAGCTCCAGAACCTTGGCTTTCATGTGAGTGCTTATTTGTGACCCTGGACCACAAAACCAGTCACAAGGGTCAATTTTTTTTAAATTGAGATGTATACACCATCTGAGAGCTGAATAAATAAGCGTTCCATTGATGTATGGTTTGTTAGGATAGGACAATATCTGGTCGAGATACAACTATTTGAAAATCTGGAATCTGAGGGTGCAAAAAAATCTAAATATTGAGAAAATCATCTTTAAAGTTGTCCAAATGAAGTTCTTAGCAATGCATATTACTAATCAAACATTAAGTTTTGATACATTTACGGTAGGAAATTTACAAAATATCTTCATGGAACATGATCTTTACTTAATATCTTAATGATTTTTGGCATAAAAGAAAAATCTATAATTTTGACCCATACAATGTATTGTTGGCTATTGCTACAAATATACCCCAGCGACTCAACACTGCTTTTGTGCTGCAGGATCACATTTGTGCAGTTCACAGGTTTGTGGTTGTGCCCACCTCCCTGACTACTCGCTTCATTCACTTCATTAGTTAACATAGTTTAATGCTGTGTGTTTTGCATAGATCGAGACCATTGGAAAGAAAGTGACGACCCGAATCCCCTTCACACCATCCGGAGGAGGTCCACGACTCAATGAACCACCCGTCAAGAAAACCAAAGTTTAAGACACAGACTCACACACATGTGCACTTTACACGGATGAAAGTCTTTTGCCGACAAAACCAAAGTAATGCGTGACCTTTGCTGGAAAACAATGCATGTGCTGTGTGTGTATGTTTATTCTCCGTTTGCAAAAATGCAGTGATAAGTCTTAGTTTTTTTTAAATCATCGTTCTTACATTTTTTTTTATTATGTTCTCATGTCTGTGCCATTTCAAAAAATTGTTGAAACATCTATAGTGCCCAAAACTGCATTTCAGCATCCCAGTACTGTTTAGTAGTATATTAGTGTTTACAGTTATTAGTGTTATAGATTTTATTGGCAAAATCATCTACTTATTTGAGAGCGATGTCTGAGGGAGCAGCAACAGAAGGAACGGAAGGAACTTTAATATTTGGAACAAGGGGACAGAAAAACTGCTATAAAACATTTGCCTTAAAAACATTTGGCAATATGATACCAATGGTAAATAGCTGTTTGTGTCGCCCAGTTATTAATCCTCTGGTATGTATTGTTTGACCTGTACAGTCACAGTTGTAGCTTTTATAAAATCATCTCTTACTGTACAGGTTTGTAATGGTCATGTACAAAGATGGCAGAAAACGTATTAAACAAATATGGACCAATAAAAAGCAGCAGCGTTGTTTACTTATTTCGCAGGCTTAAATATGGAAGTCAACCATGGCTCAAACAAAAATGCACAATTGACATGTTATTGTATTGAATATATTCTATTTATAGTACTTAAATGATGCACAATATAGAGACCTTTAATCCATTTCTAAAACAACCCAACATGTTCATTTAAATATTATGTTTATAGTGTTACTGCAACGCAATTAATTTTATTTTGTATTATGTATACTTAAAGGTTAAACTATGGTTCCTTCAGTCTTCTTTTCCAGCAGATTCTTCAAAAAGAACTCGCCTAAGAAATAAAACGGTGTATTTAAACAAATAAAGTTACAGTATGTGTAAGTGCTTCATGAAATGTGGAGCCAATGTTTGTCTGCCCTGATGGTCAAAAGTACAACTATACAGCATCTCTCGTATAGGTGTATCTAAAACTCTCCAAGCTTTAATCAGCGAAAGGATGAGAACTACTGTTGCTAATTCACTTGGACTAGATATTTCTGCTATCTGGTGGTGATTGTATACACAAGCAATAAAACCAAATAAAATAATACAAATGAAATATGAAAGACATGTAAACAGAATGCAAGAAATGTATATATATAACTATTATTTTGAAAGATTGAAATATCTTACAAATGTTTTTTTTTTGCATATAAATAAAACTGGAAAAATACACAGAACTTTCCAACAATACATTGTATGGGTCAAAATTATAGATTTTTCTTTTATGCCAAAAATCATTAGGATATTAAGTAAAGATCATGTTCCGTGAAGATATTTAGTAAATCTCCTACCGTAAATGTATCAAAACTTAATGTTTGATTAGTAATATGCATTGCTAAGAACTTCATTTGGACAACTTTAAAGATGATTTTCTCAATATTTAGATTTTTTTGCTCCCTCAGATTCCAGATTTTCAAATAGTTGTATCTCAGCCAGATATTGTCCGATCCTAACAAACCATACATCAATGGAAAGCTTATTTATTCAGCATTTCAAATGATCTACAAATCTCAATTTGGAAAAATTGACCCTCATGACTGCTTTTGTGGTGCAGGGTCACACGTGTGCATGGCATTTCAGAGTCTTTAATGTTTGGTTTGCTAGTGTTTTTATGTTTCCTCTCCATCTCTGTCCACTGATGTGAGGACTACATAGTCCAGTCCCCAAACTCAAAGTTTAAGCATGCTTTAACCCCAAGCTAAACACATGCATATATTATACTGTTAAGATTGCAGTGACTTTGCGCTGGCCTGCACACTAACCTATTTGGCATTCTATGTTTGTACAATCAGTCATACAACTAAACCAGAGCAAACACCAGTTACACTAAACCCTCAAAGCATTTAGACGAATATCGTCCTCTCATCAATCGCTCTGACATCGATTAACTCACCCTGCACGTTTATGACAAAGACATCGTGACAAACGTGCATGTGACACATTCTCCTACATAAAAAGAAAGATATGTCAATTTAACATATATAATAATTGTTATGACAGTTACAACACGCTTTACTAAATCGGTTCTCAGTATCTGTAATCGCTCGGTCGTGCCTTGGCGATGACGCAAAACGTGCTGCTTACATTTACGTCATGACGTCCTTCCGCCTCCCTTTCCTCTTTAATCGGCGAGGTAAGAACATGGCGCGTCCTGTTCTTGTGTGTTTTAATCAACTACAATCCGCACTAGCGTCAAATCCGTTGGGTTTGCTTAGCGTCCCAAGACTTTATTTACTTGTCCGTGAGAATATCTGTGCTGGTATTAGCGCAGAAAGCCCGATGTTGTTTGATAACCGCAGTCTGGGTGCTCAGTGTTTATCTATTAGCCGGGCTTGCAGGCCGTGTTCACTCATTTAGATATAAACACATTGATATTAAGACACTCTTGTCTCGTTATGCGATTAATAATGTTCAAATAAACATAAGTTGACATTGCTGTCAGAGTGTAGCTGGTCGGGTTTGCACTGGGCTCAGGTTTCTAGATTTCTAAATGAAGATAAGTGAACAATATGTGATGTAACATCTCTGTTCTGTGCTTCTGTGCTGCTCTCCTTCAGAATGAAGACCATTCTCAGTAACCAGACGGTGGACATCCCCAGCAACGGTGTGTTGGAGTCACACTTGACTTCTTAAGCATTCACACACGTTTCTTCCTTCTCCATGCTTTCACTTTTACTAAATTTGTGTCTTGGTTCCTTGCAGTCGATGTGACCCTCAAGGGCCGCACAGTTGTTGTGAAGGGGCCCCGAGGAGTTCTTCGCCGGGAGTTCAACCACATTAACCTGGAGCTCAGTCTGCTGGGCAAGAAACATAAGAAGGTTTGCGGTCTTGATGCGTATGAATGAATCCGCATTAAAGGATTCGCTCACTTCCAGAGTAAAAGTGTCCTGATCGTTTACTCGCCCTCGTGTCGTTCGAGGTGTTCGTGTCTTTCGGTCGTCAGTCGCAAAGAAATTGAGGTTTTTGAGGAAAGCATTCCAGGGTTTTTCCTCCGTGTAATGGACTGAAGGTCCTAATTGCAGTTTCCTTTCCAACGTGACTACGTAATGCGTGAAGTCTAAGTGCAAGACTAGCATTTGTAGTTAAGTATATTAATTTTTATTTTTTAGATAACTTATTCCTCGGCTGGGATCGTGTAGAGCTCTTTAAAGCTGCACTTTAGACCTTCAACCCGTTGATCTCCACTGAAGTCCATTATATGGAGAAAAATCCTGGAAATCTTTCCTCAAAAACCTCAATTTCTTTGCGACTGAAGACAAAAGCCCTATTCGCACTATTACCTGGTGACCTCCAGTCATTTGTAATAATTGCGGAGGTTGTCTGTGATCTTAATCCCGTGCGATTCGGCCATGTCTGTAATTAGAAAAGTAAAAATTCCCCCGCAGATGACCTACCATATTTCGCCGAACACCGAGGTCCTGTGATCATATTAGTGCCGTGCGAATCGGCATCTCTGTGATTCGGCCAGCATTTGGCGGGTTGTGTATCATTTTTCGAGGTTTTTGTTTCCTGTGTGCCTTTTTATCCGTCTTCCGTGAAGAATGGAGCTGCGTTGGAGTGTTTGATAGTATTCTGGGTGCTGTCGTCGTATCGCTACACCATACAATTTGCAGAAAGAGAAAGCTGAAAAGGTTTTTTAGGTTAATGTGTTACAAATAAATCAAGCATAAAGCTTGAGATATTATTTTAACCTGGTGAAATGTAAATGACACTGCGCACGACACTATATTCGTTTTTTGTTTTTTTTAAATCCATCTGGACCATAGAACGGGACTCTCTCTGACATCCGGGTGTCCGGGAGATAAGTTAGTAAATTCGAGTAAAATCACAGGCTTCGCTTATCCCCTGCGAATGCACCACACGAAATTCAGATGTGGGGGGGTAATTTCAAAATC